CCCCCCCTAAACAAGTAACTCCCTGTCTTGGAGCTGATGCCAGCTCACTGTGACCCCACAGGACAGGATAGAGATGCCCTGTGAGTTTCCAAGACGGCAAGTCTTTATGGAACAGAGTCTCTCGCAGAGTGGCGGGTGGTATCGAACTGCTGACCTCTCGGCTTGCAGCCATATGCATCACTACTGTGCAACCCAGGCTCCTTTCCCATGCCCCCAGTAAGCCATTAATTCAGTCACCATCTCTATATTTACCTAGCTTGCATTTCATATACCGGAAAACACATAAACAAAACAAGATACCCAAGCAGCAATAGCAAAATAAGCTGGAGAAAAATGCTCATCAAAAAGCAGGAAATATTAAAAACTTGAAAACAAGTTTAAAATGGGTCCAAAGGGAGACCCAACGATATGGTGTTAGATTTTAACCTAATTTTTTCCACACTCATCCACTTTCCACATCCCTGGTCTATGGACAGAGGGGGCTCACCAGAGCCTTAAGTAATCTACAAGTATTTCCCCTCACCATCTATAGGGATTTTGTTGATAGATTTTCAGGCCGAAGATCTCCCAGTCTTCCTAGTCCGTCTTAGTCTGAGAGCTCCATTGAAACCTAGTCAGCATCTTCGCAACCAGCAAACTCCTCCTGTGACAGATGAGGGGCAGCCAAGCGAGAGGGGAGGTGTGCTGGCCGGAGTTGGCGTCTGGGTCCTCCACTTGGCAGCTGAGAATTCCCCCACTGAACCGAGGCCATTAAAGAGACGACGTCAAATACGTAGCCCGTGAGGGCAGCTTTGCTTTTCATCCCTGGACAGAGCCAAGGTTTCGTCGTTAGTGGGGGACAGGACAAACCGGCTCCTCTGGTGAGAGACGCCAGGTAGCCTTCGTCATCTCTCTCCTTTGAGTGATCGTCCCTTTGCTGCCATGGTCCTTGCTGTGTTCCCTTATTGTCATCCTGCTGGTTCCGATGCACGGAGACCCCGTACAACCGTGCTCCACAGACGATTGCTGGGGTGAATAGTCAAGCCCCGTCGTCCTTCGTGCCCCCAGGGCTGTGTTGTTGGAGCTTCTGCACTGAGGTTTTGAAAGGGCATCCTTAACATTTTGAAAAGGGCTTAGGTTTTAATGTAATAGTCTTCCTTGATGAGCCTGGTTAACCGATTTATCTTGTTATCCAACATCTCCCAGTCGTGATGCATGTCAGGCCATACTGCACAGCGAAAGATGAGAGTGCAGGTTATTGGCAGCTTGACTGGGCCACGGTTCTCAGTAGTTTGTGAACACGTGATTTGGCAGCGAAGTCCCAACGTAGTCATCCTCCATTTTGTAATCCGATGTAGTCATCCTCCATTTTTCTCACAGGGCCGATGTTCAGATAGCAAATGGCCTTTGGGACCTAGCCACGTTCATCAGTGAGGAGTCGGTGTTTTTCATCGAATAGTTCTGGCAGTAGAACGCTTGCCGTTTATTTTCAATTCACGTGGCCGGAAGAGAGACTTAGGGAGGTGTTTCATTTTCTTGGTTAATTTTGAGTCTCGGTGCCCAGAGAGTGCCTGGCACAGAGTGACCCATGGCTGTCAAATCCTTTCTGACTTGGCAGCCCTCTCAGTCTGTTTCCAGAGAGAGTTTGCAATAGGGCATCTTTATGGAAGCACACCGTCTCATCTTTCTTCCACAGATTGGCTGAGGGGTTCACACCGCCCACCGTCCAGTCAGCAACTAAGCTCTTAATCACGGTGCCACCAGGCTCCTTGGCGCATGATAAATGGTCAATAAATCCCGAATGTTGAATGAGTGAGTCCCCATGAGCCCAGAAATGCACCGATGGTCCTTGTCAGTTAGGGTCCCTCAAGCTGTCTGCCACTCGAAAGCAGAGCTGGTATAAACCACACGCAAACAAACAAGCAAACAAACACACACACTGCTGGCTAAACGGAGGAGCATAACTCTTTATAATCTCACGAGGTTTCTAAATATTCGGCATCTTCATTTTAGGGTGAAATAGCATCTATGAAGACGTTGGAGAAAGAAAGCGTGTCCTCTTTCTTTTGAGGTTGTTCCCTCTCCCAGGGTTGCGACTTGAAAGCCCATGGTTTTTTCCAGTCCTTATTAACAGGCCAAGGTGCTTGTATGTCAACCTCGCCTCGGGAGAAGAGTGTTTAATAAACTTGCGATTGGATGAAAGCAGAGTTTTCATGAGATTCTCATTCTCCTCCTAGCCGCTGCACGATGTTCTCCCCCCTGTAAAGAGATGGGAAGCTGTGTGGTGAGGTCAGCTTGGGGAGGTGTATGATTGAACACCTCATCCCAGGAGAGAGTTCTCTGATGGCTGGTAGCCCAGAACCGGGGCTCAGAAAGCAGTCGCACTGAGCTGGTCGGAGCTCTTGGCTCTGCCGCTGCGTTAGACTCATCCTGGCTTGGGAAGCAGGGAGTGTACACTTTTCCAGCCCTGATAAGAAAGAGCTGTGTTTGGCTCGGTGAATCCCCACCCCTCACATAGTGCATTCTGTCTGCTGAGATGATCTGTGAGGCGGTGTGTGATCTCACAAAGAATGATAGCTACAGTTGTATCTGAAAACAGCTCAAGAAGATTCCACAGAGACCCCCATAGCAGGACACAGGAAGGAGAGGGCTTCAGAAAGCTCGTAGAAAAATTCCAGGATCCATGACCCTTGTGAAGCCTCATCACAGCTTCCCAGGAGCCCTGTTGGTGTCGTGGTTTTGCGTTGGGCTGCTAACCACAAGGTCAGCAGTTTGGAGCCACAAGTTGCCCCACTAGAGAAAGACGATCTCTACTCTCGTGAAATCTCAGAAAACCCACAGGGGCAGTTTTGCTCTGTCCTACAGGGTCCCTATGAGCCGACATTGCCTTGAAGGCAGTGAATCTGGAGTGTCCCAAACTAGCATGGCCTCACGTTCGCTCATTTGGACTGTTTTTGTTTTTTTTTGCAAGGCAGCGGCAGAAGGGATGGATGGAGTGACTCACCGTGTCCCTCTGTAGGTGGGGCATTCTGCATTCACAGGAGTATTTGTGATAATAATTTTGGTCATACGTGTTTATAAATTGATGGCCTTTTCTAGAATGCAGGGTTCTTTATTTAGTTTTCTTTTTGCCATTTAAAGACGGAGATAGATTGAAAAGCGTATTTCTTTCCCATGGGGGTGGATTAACTCTCTGGCTTAGGAGGAAAACCAAAGCCACTCGCAAGCTTTGTGGCTTTTGCTGAGAGACGATTTGTACGACTGACACGTTGTTAATCTTTTAATAACACCTCAGGGAAATGATTTTCCAACACCCTTCGTACAGTTGACCAGGGAACAGCCTGAAACACTTATTCCTAAGTGTTTGGCACAATAGCTTGCATAAGACTGTCAGTAAAATGGATGGTTTAAGAGTCTTAAAAAGAAGAAAATGGTTTTTTGTTTTTGTTTTGTTTTTTTACTTTCTTCGGTGTCTAGTTTTATTTAAGACTCTAGCAGAAAACTCATAACAAAACCAAAAGATCCCACTGTCAGAGTCTATTCCGATGCATAGGCACCTGATGGGACAGGGTAGACTTGGCCCTGTGGGTTTCTGGAGACGGAAACTCATTAGGAGGGTAGACAGCCTCATCTTTCTTCTGCCGAGCTGCTGGTGGGTTTGACCTACTGCCCTTGTGCTTCTCAGTTCAGTGCTTAGCTCACTACACCACCAGGTCGCCTTAGAGATGGTCAGACCGTCAGTCACTAAAAGTGTGGAGCGCTAGGTGGAGGACCTGGGGAAACAGCTTCACAGTTGTTTTAAAACATCACTTTATTGGAAGCTCCTACAGATACCATAACATTCCGTAGTTCAGTCACATCCAGCAGTATTGTCACTGGTTACGACAGTCACTTTCAAAATACTCTCTTCTCTCTTCCTTGATATTTCCTCCCCTTTATCCCTTCCCTCCCTCTACTTTCCCTGAATCCTTATTGGTTATATATATAGATAATTTCCTTCTGTATCTTACACTATCTAACATAGCTATTAACCTACGATTCTGTTATTTGCCCCCCGTGACAGTTTGGTATTTTAAAGCAAGGTTTCTATGATTTTGTGCCAATACTTTTTGGTTTCCCGTCTTAAAAAAGATGGGCTGACACACCCACACAATAAGCCCAGCTTTGTATTCACAAGCGAAATTGCTTCGATTTGCTATGTATCGTCTGGTAAAACCTATAGAATCTTCCAATAAGATGAAAGCCCCATTTGTCAGAAGGTCATACAAAGGATAATAATCTTGGCAGTTCTACTGTGAGAGACATCTCCCTTTTCACTCTCATAGCGCGCACGTAGCATGCGCACACACTGTCGAGCCCTTTATGTACCCCACCGCTCTGAACGCATAACATTCCTCAAGGTTGATATTAACCACACTCACTACTGTAGGTCTAAGGGCACCTTTGCTGAGAAGAGGTAGCCGCAGGTTTATCATCTGGGTCGTACTCTCAAATGCATGTGGTTCGAGCCACCAGGCTACTTGCCCCCACCTTGAGTCGAGGCTGTGTCCACCAGACTGTCAGTGATCTTAGCAGCTCCCATGCCGTCACTAAGTACAAGGGGCCTTCAGCAAGGTCACGGGGAAGTGTCATTCTCTCAGTTCTGCTTTCCAAGAGCTTTGGAAGGACCCCTGGTTTCGGCGGGAGAGCGTAGTCGCAAGCATTTGAGCTTTATCTGGTGGTCACGGGTGCGCTGCCGTGTGGTCGTGTCTGAGGTGACACCTCTCTAGTGTGACCTGTGGAATAGGCCCAACCGAGCTGGGGCTGGGCCAAGGCCTACTGACCTGCCACTGTGCCCTGGCCCCTGAGCTGCTTAAACGGGAAAAGCTGACTGGCGATCAGTCTGCTGGCTCCATCTGTGCCCTTAAAGCAACCCTGGTTCACCGTGCCTTAGGTATAAGGGCATCTGCAAAGCTGCCTGGGTCTGCGCCACCTGGAGGACTGCCAGTGCTTTGGATCGAGCCCAGTGTTTCAGTCCCCAGCCCAGGGTCGCAGGCCAGCTCATGGGCAGTGCCCTCTTTTCTGCCCACAATGCCCTCTACCAACATGACCGGCTTTTAGAACAATCCCACATAGCAAGATGCTGACCTTTTTAAAATAATAATTTTATTGCGGCTTGTACAACTCTTATCACAATCCATACATCCATACATTGTGTCAAGCACACCTGTACATCTGTTGCCATCATCATTCTCAAAACATTTGCTTTCTACTTAAGCCCCTGGCATCAACTCATTTTCCCCTCCCTCCCTGCTGCCTCCTCCCTCATGAACCCTTGATAATATATACATTATTATTTTGTCATATCTTACTGTCCGACATCTCCCTTCACCCACTTTTCTGTTGTCCACCCCCCAAGGGAGGAGGTTATATGCAGATCCTTGTAATCGGTTCCCCCTTTCTACCCCATCTTCCCTCCATCCTCCCAGTATCGCCACTCTCACCACTGGTCCTGAAGGGATCATCTGTCCTGGATTCCCTGTGTTTCCAGTTCCTATCTGTGCCAGTGTACATCCTCTGGTTTAGCCAGATTTAGAATTGGGGTCTTGATAGTTGGGGGAGGAAGCATTAAAGAACTAGAGGAAGTTTGTATGTTTCATCGTAGCTACACTGCCCCCTGACTGGCTCGCCTCCTCTCTGAGACACTTCTGTAAGGGGATGTCCTGTTGCCTACAGATGGGTTTTGGGTTCCCAATCCGCACTACCATAAGATTTTTTGTTCTTTGCTGCCTGATACCTGATCCCTTTGACCCCTCGTGATCACACAGGGTGGTGTGCTTCTTCCATGTGGGCTTTGTTGCTTCTGAGCTAGATGGCCGCTTGTTTACCTTCAAGCCTTTAAGACCCCAGACGCTTTATCTTTTGATAGCTGGGCACCATCAGCTTTCTTCACCAAATTTGCTTATGCACCCATTTGACTTCCGATGCTGACCTTCTTGTCACCCTCTGCCTCCCGATGTTTCACAGGGAAGCTTGAATGCGGGTCACCCCAGGTCCATCCGAGTGGCCTCCTCGTGCAAGATGACGTGAGCCTCCTGGCTGCAGCGCTGCGGATTCAGGTCGGCTCGGCTTTGGCCCCGGTGGCGCCTTTCTGTTCACGCAGCGCGGGGCTCGACATGACACTGTGAGAATTCTCATTGCATTCTCACCACTGCCCTGTGAGATACCGTGACTGGCGAGGAACCTTGAGGCTTAGAGAAGTCAAGCTGCTTGCCCGTGAACAAGGCTCCACCCCCAGAGTCTGTGGATTCGTTCTCTACTGCTGCGTAATCAATCACCCCGATACATAAAGCAAGCAGCAAGCCTTGATCAGCTCAGTTTCTGTGGGCTGCTAATCTGAGGGCAGCCTAGCTGGGTGCTCCTGACTGAGCGCCTTTGACCTAGTAGAAATCAAGATGTCAGTGAGGGCATGCTTGGGGCTAGATCAGCGGTGCTTAACCTGTGGGTCTCAACCCCTCTGGGGGTTCAACAACCCTTTCACAGGAGCCGCCCGATTCATAACAGAAGCAAAATTACAGTGATGAAGTAGGGATGAAAATAATATGGTTGGGAGTCATCGTAACATGAGGAACTGTCTTAAAGAGGCGTGGCATTAGAAAGGTTGAGAACTGCTGGGCTAGATGGTCCACTTACAAGGCGGTGCACTCACGTGGCTGTTGGCCTGCGGTATTAATTCCTCGTTGGCCTTTGGAGGGAGGTCTCTGCCACTTGGGATTCAGGGGGGCTATATCCAGAGTTTCTACTTTAGTTTAGAGAGCGTGACTCAAGCCACCAGCATTTGTTTCCTTGGGGGGACGGGCTGCCGAAAGACAAACACCACACCTCCCACCCCCTTCATACAAGAGTGAAAAGGGGGCCCGCTTGGCAGCAAGATGACAGGGAAATGCCAGTCGGCATGCCTGGGCCCCTAGGGGCCTGGTGGCAACAGGGAAGCTAGAGAGGGCCATCGGATGTGGCCCCCGCACTGCAGCTGTCCATGAGGAATGACAGAAAGAGGGTCCCATGTTGAAGTAGAAAGCTGTCATGCTGTTGTTTTTGGAATTTGAAGCGCTGGTTCCTCTATTTCTAGACCGTGTCCCTGTCAGCTGTCACCTCCACCATGCCCCAGGCACGGGCAGCGTACTGAGCGGACAGCTGCAGGCCTGGGGTGTTAAGGTCACATGGACGGTGGATGTCCACCAAATGCTTTAAGGCTTTGTCCTCAAGGGTTGGGAGCTGTCTCCTCTCCCTTAAGTGGGAGCTAAGCTCAGTGGTCTCCTTTATGACTTTGAGGTCTGCTCCCCACTTCCCTCCCACGGGGCCCAAGACCTGCTCATGCGAGCCCTTTCCGAACAGTGGACTTGCTCTGTTGGAAGCTGGGCCTCTACGCAGGCTCAGGCGGCTACCATGTTTCATTTCTGATGAATAATAGGAACAATCCAGGCAGCAACATGCTGTCTGTGTATACTTAACGTCACACCAGCTCGCACGCCCACCGTCCAAATAGTACACATCTCCTAATTTTCCTTATTTAAGACGGAGGCCAAAAAATCCAAACCTATGGATTTAATTACCTGCAGAAAAAAAATCATTCCTGGTATTCACTTGGTTGGGTGGGCAGCTTTTAAAGCCCAGAACCATGACGTTCTAGCCACGAACAGTGTTTTCAAAGCTGGCCGATATCCCCTCTCATGACTTACGTTGTCCTTTGTGTCCCCGCTGAAGAACGTGGTCAGTAGCGGACGGCGGTGGCTCCGTGAGCAGCAGTACACGCGGTGGAGACTGCACTGTTTGAAACTCCAGCCTCTCTCTCCTGTCCCAAGGTATTGGTGGGGGTGGGGTAGGGGTGTCTCTCTGCTGACGCCAGCTCACAGAAGTGCCTCAGATAGCCAGCGGTCAGCTCACCGAGGCACTGTGCTGTGATACTGGATCATTTCTCTTCCTTGCATGGCTGAACTCTTTGGTCCTTTCTACGCCTTCCAACTCCTAATTAATCACTACGTCACAGTATGGCACTACGCAAAGCACAGGTTTCACAGTTAGATGTGCCCAGTCCCCAAAAGTCATGTTATCCATGCAGGAGATCCACGTTCAGTTTGCCCTGTGCACTTTATGGGCAGCTGCTACTGCCCATCGGCCGGTGGAGGCTTGCATGTTGCTGTGCTTGCAGCCTAAGAAAGACTCGGAAGAAAGGCCTGGCGATTGATTTCTAAGAATCAGCCAGTGACAGCCCTCTGGCGCTGATCCTGGGGGTGGCTCGGGACTGGGCAGCCTTTTCCGTTGTTCTGTCGGCAGCAGTCACCATGAGCTGGGGCTGACTCGCACCGCTAGCAGCAACAACAGTTCTGACAGTCGGGTGGCAGCAGGAAGGCCAGCAAACATGAGAGCAGGGGGCTCTCTGTCCCTGGGGAGGGGACCGGCAGTCCCAGAGAAGTCCTACTGGCGGCTTCTTGCGTGAGGGGGGACCCACCAGCTGGAGCAGTTACGTGGCCACCTCTCCCTTGCTCCAGGCTCCTGTCTAGCTTTGCCTCCCGGGGCATGCACATGCCTTCTACCCCATCCCATCACGCAGATGCGCCATCCATCACAGACAGACGGATGGCCTGAACCCCAGGAGAAGAAGTGACTTGTACACCCACGAGCCCCCAAAGCACTTTCTGCAAAAGCTCATTGCGACAGACACTGATTTTCACGGGCCCCCAGGGGGGGGACTCACAACTTGTTGGGGACACACACCAGCTGCTATGTCTGCCCGGCGTCACACTGAGCTATGTACATTTCTTATGTCCCTAGCCAACTGGGGAGCACTCAGTCATTGAACAACGGTCAGGCGATCGACGATTTTGAAATGCGAGTTTGACCTTGAAGTAGGAAAGAACGAGGGAGGGTATGGACCCAGATCAAATAAGCTCATTTCCGCATGTTTGAATCACCCGGAGGCTCATGTGGCTAGCCTGGTTAGAACATTGTCTCAGGGCCAACAAACGCAGGAGTGACCCATGTAAAGCCCTGTGCTCAGCGGTAGAGGCTTGGGACACATAGGGAGACAGTCCTCCCTGTCTGGGGACAGAAGTGTTACTGTCCCTGGACCTCAGTGAGTGTTTCAGGTGTTGCCTCTTTAAAAACACCGCCTCGCTTTCTCCTGCGCATTAATCACTCGTGGTTGTCCAGTCATTGCTCTCCATTCGTCGTTGGCCTGGTGCTCGGCTGTTTTTTTTTTTTTTTTTAAACATTTTATTAGGGGCTCATACAACTGTTATCCCAATCCATACACACATCAATTGTGTAAAGCGTATTTGTACATCATTTCTCAAAACATTTTCTCTCCATTTAAACCCCCGACATTAGGTCCTCATTTTTCCCCTCCCTCCCCGCTCCCCTCTCCCACATGAGCCCTTGATAGTTTATAAATGGGTATTTTGTCATATCTTGCCCTGTCCGACTTCTCCCTTCACCCACTTTTCGGTTGTCTGTCCCCCAGGGAGGAGGTCACACACAGTTCCATGTAATCGGTTCCCTCTTTCCTACCCATTCTCCCTTTACCCTCCCTGTTTTGCCACTCACACCACTGGTCCTATAGGGCTCATCCGTCCTGGATTCCCTGTATTTTCAGTTCCTATCTGTACCAGTGTACCTCCTCTGGTCTAGCCAGTCTTGCAAGATAGAATTCGAGTCATGGTAGTGGGAGCGGGGAGGAAACCTTTAGGAGCTAGAGGAAGGTTGTATTTCTCATCATTGTTACATCGCACCCTGACTGGCTCATCTCCTCCCCGAGACCCCTCTGCAAGGGGATCTCCAGTGGCCTACTAATGGGCTTTGGATCTCCACTCCGCACTGCCCCCATCATTCACTATGGTGAGATTTTTTGTTCTGATGATGCCTTACACCTGATCCCTTTGACACCTCGTGGTTGCATAGGCTGGTGTGCTTCTTCCATGTGGGCTTTGTTGCTTCTGAGCTTGATGGCGCTCGGCTGTTTTTCACTGGCGCGGCGACCACCTAAGCTGAGCAGACTCATGCCCCGTTTGTGTTTTCCCCTCCAGCGACATCGAGATTTCCAGAGCTCAGACTCCCAAAGCGGTGGAGGTCCTTGCCAAGGAGATAGGCTTGCTTGCAGATGAAATCGAAATCTACGGGAAAAGCAAAGCGAAAGTCCGGTTGTCTGTGCTGGAAAGGTTAAGGGATCAAGCAGATGGAAAATACGTCTTAGTGGCCGGGTAAGCCAACTTTTCAAACCTAGTTCGCCAGGGAGGCCTGTGGAGAAAACTCTCTTTCCTAGCTACGCCAGTCCTCAGAGCCCGTCAGCCCTGGGCTCATGCCTGATGGCTCTCTCAATTTCCCTTGGCAGGCTTTCCTGGCCGAGAGGTAAGTTTTGCTTCTTCCAAGCCAAGTGAATTTGTCTAGGTCCCCGAAGCTACAGTGTAACAAGTTGCTCATGGTTTAGTGCTCTGCCCTGTGCTCTGTTCTAACCCCCCCTGCCCCCCACCTTGGAAATTTCTGGATGGAAAAAAGCAAAACAGGAATTGAAAGCAACATAGTTTGAACTGAGCGTGGTTTGTTTTATGTGTTGTCTGCTAAAATATTCTGTTTATGTGTATAGGCTTGATATTTCTGCTGGATATGGTCACATCAGAAAAATTCATTTTTCTTTTCCTATATCTCAAAGCTCGTGCGGTCCCATCTTCTTTCGCGCCGGTCATTTTGTAGTGTTTTAGAAGAGACTGACTTACAGGCGTTGGAAACGTGGGTGCTTGCTCTATTTCATCCCTCAGAGCCCCCTTTGGAAAAGCTATATTTCACCACAAGAGTTTACGCTAATTGAAAGGGTGATCGGAAATCAGGGATTTCAAAGACTGATTCACCGTAACCGTATAAATTCCTTTGCTGTCTTGACATCTCATGGTATGCTTATGCCTCGAGCGCCAAGGTTTGTGGTACAAAAAGTTGTGCTTGTTAGGCAGAGACATTGTTTAGGGTTGGATTTGATTTTAATAGCCAACTTTGGTATTTTTATATAGTCAGTGGTTGGCAGGTTATTATGGGATGTTGAGTCAGTTCTGACTCACAGCAACCTTACAGCACGGCATACTTGCCTTCTTCTCTTAAGAGTGGCCAGGCGGGGGCAGACCTTTCCATTGGCAGCCGAGCATCTCACCTGGCCCCGCTGTACTGTCGCGAACCTGTTACCTTGGAGCCATTTCTCGCTCATGCTGAGCCTAGAGCACAGGGTAGAATGGCGCCATCATCAGGTTTCCACGCGTCAGTCCCTACAACTGCAGCCAGCCCTGTCTTTCTTCCACAGCCTGGGCTGAGATGTTCATAACTTTCACTCCTCGACCGAGCACTTTAAGGAGACCAGGATTCCCACCTCAGCTGCATCCTCGAATCCATGGTCAGCTCTTGGGTCCATGTGATGGAGCTGCAGGAAGGTCCCTCGCTGAGGGAATCTTGGCCTCTCCTGCAGGCACTTCCTTGCCCTTTGAAGGGGCAGGCAGTGGTGGGGGAAGAGCATGTTCTGCCCCCGTTTCCTGGGTCCCAGGGTTTGGGGCACATGCGCTAGTCAGGATTGCTGTCTGAACGTAAGCGAGTGCTCTCCACACCTGCGATGACTACACAGACCTTTGACCATTAAGGGCTCTAAGCATGTGCTTGCAAAAGGGGCCCTCCAGCAGCCACTTGGCTTATTGTTTGGCCAATTTGCTCAGCTCTGTGCTCGTTGGTATTGGAAATAAACACCTCTGCAAATGGCCCTTCTCTTCCAACGGGAACCGGAATCCCCGATCCCAAAGTGCACCCCTCTGCTGATGTCGTCCTCCCGTCCCTGCCTAGGAGGAAAAAGAGCTCACCAACCATAGCAAGATGAACCAGAGAAAAGCTTTAATCAAGAAGAACGGAGGAAACATTAAAAACTGTAACACATTCAAAATGGGTCCGTTCGGAGAGCCAATTATTCCCACTGGTTTTGGATTTTATTCTCTGTAATCCTTGGATCACACAGGATGGTGTGCTTTTGCCATGTAGACTTAGTTGATTACTCATCTAGATGGCTGCTTGTTTCAAGACAAGCCTTGAGAGACCCCAGGGGCTATTCTTTTAGATAGCCAGGCCATGTCATAAGAACTAATTGCTCTTAGATTGGGGCAAGGGTAGGCCATGAGTCCACTCACTCCCTCGTGGTTCACATACCCTTCTGGCTCCATTTGGAGGCATTCTCATCATTGTTTTATGGTAGAAAACACGGCCAAGTCATCCCCCTGGGGCAGAAGGTAATTCTGTTGATAGTGCGATTAATTTAGTCAGCGGTATAGTATTTAACACATTGTTGAGAAAAGGAAATTATACAGCTCTGATCCATAGTACCTGGGTTCTTCATTTGTACCGTACATTTTAAAAACATGAATTCTTTTTATTGTGTATTAGGTGGGGGAGATCGTTGTACATTTTGAATCGATGTACTCAGGTGATGTAAGTCTGCAATAGTGGGATTAAAAGCTAAAACAACAGGAGTTAAGGGGGCAAAACTCTTGCCCCATCAATAACCCGAGTGCAGGACAGATGAATTCTTCAGACGCTGAGGTTGAGGCTCTCCTGCTCGGCCAGAGTCATCTGCGATTCATCAGCTCCACTCCTGGTGGTATTTACACCGACACATCGCTCTGTTTGCTTGGCCTGACAAAACCAACAGGACTGGGAATTGCGTAGGGCACTGTGCCAAGAGAATCGGAGGGGCGCTGGAGTTTTACATATTTTCCCAATTAGCCTAATGAGAAGGAATTCTGTTTGAGAGCTCAGGCCCGCGTGCAGCTGCCGGGGGTGACGTGCACAGAACATGACCTCCCTGTGCACACAGGGTGCATCTCCACCCCACCCTGGCTGCAGAAGGTTCTAGAATCCCTCTGAATTTCTTGGGCAGAGCCAGAAGTGTTCTGTGAATTGGATGAACCGTGTGTTAGAAGAGAAGTAACGTCTTTTGAGTGTCACTCTGTTTTTTGCATGTCAAACAGACAACCCCCCAAACTAGATGCATTGCTATGGAGCCGATTCCAACTTGATGTGAGTGTCCGAGAGAGAGAAACTAACTCTATGAGAGTAGAAAGCCTCATCTTCCTCCCAAGGAGTGGCTGGTGGTTTTGAACTGCAGACCTTGTGGTTAGCAGCCCAGTGTGTTAAAGCACTGCAGCATGAGGGCTGCTATGGGTTGGCATTGACTTGGATGGCAGCGAGTAGTGAGTCTAAATCACGAAGATACCCGGAGTTAGATGACATCCTCCACTCCGATGGGCTGCTGGATAAGTGACGAACGAAGAACTGCTGGGTTAGCAATTCAAACCCACCAGCCTCTCCAAGGGAGGAAGACGAGGCTGTTAGCTCTGGGAAATCTTGAAAACACAACTGGGGTCACTACGAGGCAGCATTGACGATGGCAGAGGGTTGGGCTTTATTTGGGGTTACTAAAGAGAGTTTTACTATGGGGATTTGCACCACTAAGTCGATTGTAAGGCTTGATGCTTTTAGGTAACATAGTTTATCACACACTTAAAGGCGGTAGACAGGCATTTCGGATAAATAGATGAATGGTTTACACCCAGAAGAAAATCGTTTAATTTTTCTTTTGATCTACTTGAAGACACTTCTCTGTTCTTTCGTCTGCCATTAAAATCCCCAAATCTTATTTGCACAGTTCAGTTGCTTGTGCCCAC